ATATCGTCTATACTCTTAATGATGCTCATTCGTATGTATTTGTTAGTAGTACAAAGGGAGTGGAGGGGAGGGTGGAGGGTAAGGGATAGAAGGCGGAGTTCTCTAGGAGTATGGGGCATGGGAGGTAGGGACAACGGAAAGGAAAAAAATATGTGGAGGGCAAGATAGAGTGACATGCAAGAGCAGGGGAAAGGTGTATGACAGGTCTCACAAATTTCTAAATGTTCACCGCTGTGATTGGCCACCCCTACAGACTGGACACGACCGGTTCGGGTGTGGGCTATGGAAGCACCGCATCCAATTTTTGCAGTCGCTGTTGCTGCATCGAATGGCACGGCACAGACAAGAGTCACAGGCTACATGGCTCGTACATGCTAGGAACACAGAGGCACGTCAACCGCAATTATAGAGGCATTGCCGTTCCAGCCCCTGTCTACAAATTGGACATGACATGTCGGGGTGCCGTACATGAGTACAGTACTGACTGTCATCGTACGTATGGAAGCAAAAACTCGCATGGACTATACCTTATTAATCCTCACGGCACTAGGCATATGAACCACATGCTAGTTGAATCTCCGGCGGGTCATCACAAAACGGCATGGAGCATCTTTCTTGGGCTTCCTCAGTATGTATTCCTTCTCTGTGGGCACACGACGATAGGGAGGATCGGTCCAACGCAAGGGCATTCAGCTGCTTCAGGATATGATCCGCAACAGCCCGCCCTGGTGGTGATAAACTATGAGCACATCGCTCTGTCGGTGCCTCATATAAAAGTCTATTTTCCTCCTCGGACTGCTGTGTTCGCCGTTCGTCTGGCAAAAAAGAGGGAGATCCGTCAGCGTTTGCCGTAGGTGTATGACCAATGCCGCATGTGGGACATGCTAGGAAAGGGTGTGGACGGTGATGGCACCGGGGATAGTCCACGCAGTAAAGACACATACTTTTCATGACAGCTTTCTGGAAGCATTGACGACACATGCCATGTTGCTGACATGTCATTAGTATGTAAGGCTGACGTGCACAGTTATTTAAGCATGGCAGGTCAAGGCCACAACGACATGTTGGGCAAGTAATCAAGGGGTGGGGGGGGTGAGCACAGGACAAGGGATCACAATTTTCGTGTGAGAGGCTAGCAGCGACCATCCCTTCATAGTGTTCGGAGCAGAGGCTATGTCATGTACATGCCAACTAAACTGTACCTGTGCGACGACACAATGGGAGGGCACAACCATCATCCTGTGGAAAGGTCCTGTCACTGTTTGTGGTAGAATCAGCAGGATTGCTCTCCGGGGGGTGCAGTGCTTGCAAATGCTCATCGACATACTGTTCCTGATGGATGAGCCAGACTAAGTGACCCTCCAACATTTGGTGATAGAAAGAGTTAATATTTCCCACTGTGTGCACTCTGCCGCCATTGTCCCATAGGGCCCATGAACTATCTGCAAAGGTAAGAGCACTGAAGTGACCTGGACGATATAAAATATATGCCCGAATATTCGGATCCGTGCCTGGCTCGTGGTTTTGCGGAGCAGGCTGGAATTGCAGTCGCCTACCCATAAATGCCATAGTCAAGATTTCTATGTTCACCCCAGGCGCAGCGTTGTCGTCGCCTGGGCAGATGGCACGGTGGTCTTCTTTTATCCAGCGAACAACATCTGCGGAATCAGCAACAGTATAAGGATTACAATTGTAAGCAAGGAGACATACATTAATGGCATAGTCCACACAACGCCCTCACTGTAGCGCTATGACATTGTCTGATTTCGCAGGTTGCATGGGGGATCCATTTACGGCAGGGGGGTCCTCGTTCAACTTTGCAGCTTGCCCAGGTGGCGGAGACTCGTTGTGGTCTTGACCAATTGGCTCCAGTATATGCTCCGGAGAGAGATGATCTTCAACCGGGGGCTCCATCACGTGATCAGGAGACGGGCCATTGTCATTTGGGGCAGGGGAGCGAGTGGGGCTAGGTGGATGAGAGAGGGGCGGGTCAAGTGGGTGAGAACTAGGTGGACCAAATGTGGGAATCGGAAGCTGATCAGCCTCACTTGTGCTTAGGGCGGCTGCTAGTCGTGCAAACACTGCGCAAGTAGCTGTATCTCGTGTCTGAAGAAATCATCGCCGCATTGCGGTCATCGTACTCGATGTGCACTATTCCTCGCTAGTGTATACTGAAAGCGACGATGTTGTTCCATACGGTTGTGAGCGTGTCGTCGGAGCAGATCTCTAACCCCTGCAGGGGGCGCAATAATCATGCATTTCAACGACAAACGAGGCCGCTGTCTTGGAGGTTGTTGTGGAGACGGGGAACGTCTCCGCCGAAGAGGCATCTTTAATGATCGATCTAACAACGGATACCTCGGCCGACAGGCCCTTTGTGACAGCCGATCTGACCATGAGTGCGTTGATGATGAGGAGGTCGATGAGGAGGAAGTAGAGGAGGAAGTAGAGGAGGAAGTAGAGGAGGAAGTAAAGGAGGAAGTAGGGGAGGAGGAAGTAGGGGACGAGGAAGAAGAAGATGATGATGCAAATGAATGAGAGGATGCTGCAAAAGAGGACGTCGGTGGGGGTGGCGGTGATGATGGCGATGTGTGTGTGTGTGTGTGTGTGTGTGTGTGTGTGTGTGTGTGTGTGTGTGTGTGTGTGTGTGTGTGTGTTTGTGTGTGTGCCATTGATACAGGCGTTTGTCTGGTGTGTCACGACACTATTCTCCTGACCCTATCAGACCGAACAAAACGCCTGTATCATGTTCTAGCGTAAAATTCATTCTCATTTTGCACATTTGGAGAGTGGTGGAGCGAAGATCATACAACGGTAGCTTGGGGCCTCGCTCCACCACTCTCCAAATGTGCAAAATGAGAATGAATCTTCCGCTAGAACATGGAAACATACACCGCCATATTTTTGTCTTTTGTGCATGAGTACTGGAGCGAGGCCCTTGCATCGCACCAGACTACAGCTGGACTTGAAGCTTAGATGTCGCCCTCATGTGATAGAGGCACTATCAACGGACGTGTGTAGTTGAGAGAGGCCCTACGGATTCCGGCGGCAGGTAAGTTGTAATATGGCCTCACTCGACTACTCTCTAATTTGTGCAAAATTAGAACGAATCTTTCGCTAGAACATGGAAAGATACATCGCCATATTTTTTGTCGTTTGTGCGTATAGCGACTGCATGTTTCCACGTTGTTGGTTTTCAACTTGTCACGGTCGTACTCTTTCTCTATTTTTTTTTTAATGGCGAAGCACCAAGGAAACACAACTTTCAGTTCTGTCGTTTTCTATATCTGGAAGTAATGAGACGAAAGCAACGGTTACACAGACATGTCCTCATCATGACCGTATTGGACCTCTGAAAGGACTCAGATACACTGAATATAACATGGAGTTGTGTACAGCAAACATGACAGAGAGAAGGTTAACAACAGTCCTATTTCTCATCACCACTTCAGGACACCCTTCACCATTTCAGGATGCAGCCTGCCTAAACAGGTGGTTTTCACGGTCTTCGAACCTTTCACCGCTTCAGAACCATTCAGGTCTGAAAATCCTGAATGATCCTGAAGTGGTGAAAGCTCCGAAGACCCGGAAAACCACCTGTTCAGGCAGGCTGCATCCTCAAGTGGTGAAGGGTGGTTTTCATGGTCTTCAGACCTTTCACCACTTCAAGACCATTCAGGATTTTCAGACTGCCCAAAACTCTCACTTGACCACTTCAGGACAACCTTCACCACTTCAGGATGCAACCTGCCTAAACAGGTGGTTTTCAGGGTCTTGGGACCTTTCACCACTTCAGGACCATTCAAGATTTAACCGCTTGTGACATGACAACACACAGTTTTGGGGACCGCACGGCCCTGAAAACAATTTGCGCGGGCAATGTCCTAATTTTGGCTGGGTGTGGGAACTTCGATTCACACCCTCCCCAACTTTTTTTTTTTTTTGGCTGACCCTGAATTTTGCCTATGTGGCGCATCAGGTACACGCGCCACGTGCGCAATGCGCAGTGCGCCGCATGTGCGCTGGTGGCACGCACGGGATGCGCCGCAAGTATGCTTTGTAGTCATCCAGCGAGTCGTATGCCCATACATGTACCTGCGCAAACACCTCTAACCAATTGCAACAGCCAATGAACTCAAACATTTTGTATTACACACGCCAAGTAGAATAGAAATACAGTATTGCTAACAACACTGTTCTCAATCTCCCCCAATGCCTTCCACAAAATTATCATCACAGTTTGAGTTACACCATTCACCGTCACACCAAGAATCGACAACTGTAAGAATGCCTCAAAGAAGACTCTCTCAGTCCCTCTCTCCTCTCTCCTCTCTGATTCTTCACCATCCTCCACCCTATCAACCGCCTACTGAACTCCTTTGGCCCTGATGGCCTAGTGCCCAGTACTCACAGCTTCAGCTTCGCTCAAGTGCATGAATCTCTCACGGCAGTCAAGAAGGGAGTCAAGTGACATTTCAGAGTGTTAAACCACCAGTACTTCCTAAAGTTGTTCCCATTAACAAGCCACAATTTTAGGAAACGTATGGGCGACTTCAGGAGCGCCCAAATTCATCCAACTAGAAATGTTTCTACTCTATTCTTTCTCGTGGCCGATAGCTGGGTCACGTAGTGGTGGTTTAAGGCAGCCTAGCGGTGTCCACCAGTGTGTGTTTGACGGGACCAGCTGGCCCCAAATACTTTGCAACCAGCTAGTCAGACAGTCTCTGGGCGCGACCTACGTCACAAACTGGGAACTAATAGAACATTCCATGGGCCGGTGCCACCATATCTTTCCACTTCCCAGTCCAGGGACGGGGGTTTGGGAAGCTTCTGCTACCAAGTATTATAGGCCTACCGAGTGACAGCCAAATCCTTTTTAGTAAAATAATTCTCAACATGTCCTGGTAGCAGAAATTGCAGAAACATCACAGAGGCCAAACATACAGTTTCAAAATAACAAGCGCAAAACTGTGGGTTCTTGCGATTGAATTGTTTCTCACCTTCGATGAAGCATCAAACTGTCCACGGACAAACCGCAACACAATACAGCTCTTTCCTACCCCTGAATCCCCAAGAAGCACCAGCTGCCAAGAAAAGACAAAGCAGAATTATTATGAACACCTCAGCCCATGATACATATCATACATGCATGCACTCCACCACGTGAACCATGTCATTTCAGACTACTAGTAACACATTGTCAACAAGCAAACAGTTTTCTTCTTCGCAGCACCAATTACACTGAAGATTCCTCTCAGCAACCAATAGCCAGAGGAGAACAGGACCCTCATGGTCATCAAAGAGAGGTGAAATGGTAAATATGATGAACGAAGATGCAGTACCACTACATGACGTCCACTGCCATGCAAAAAACCTGATTCACCTGAAATAGCAGAGAACACACCTGCAGTCAGAAACCCTTCGAGCACTTAGAAGAACCACCTTCTCAAGGCGGAAAATGATGAGCATAGAAAACCAAACCATTACCCAATGTTGACACTTGCACTTTGAGACGGACCATCCACCACACTCTCACGCCATGCACAGACCAGACGACACCCAAACATCAAAGCACAGCTGAAATGTAACTCGAAGACAGTATCTGCCAATCAACTCAATCACACAGAATTGTCTTTACACAAGGTGCGGCTACGGCCGGCTGCAAGCTCTCTCAGGTATAGTCGTTCGCGCCCTCAGCATCACTTCTCTCTCTCAGGTATGGTCGCTTGCTCCCTCAGCCTCCACTACTCTTCCCCTGACCAGGTTCTCTCCCTCGGAATACCTATCAAGTTCGCTCTGTCTAAAAACCTAACTCTGGACTTGGCTATTGCTACTCCCTAAGGGCGCCCAGTGCCATCGACTACTACTATCTCCAGGCAGTGCACTCCTCAGTACCCCAAAATAGTGCAGCAGCTTTTCCGCCCGAGCCATCAAGTGACTATGTCTTGACTGCTTCCCGAGCTGGAACTCTGTACTTGAAAGTTCCCTTCTGGACTGCAGCAGTTACGGGTCCACTGCCCTTCCTTTGCTTGCCTCTTCCGGGCTTTTGTGGACTTTCCTGGGGCTTTGCTACTAAGTCGACTGGCTGACAGATGGCCTAACGACTTCTACTGACTCTTTTCGACCAATAACTGTTATCTACCAGGAGCTCCCTACCACAGCCTACTGACTCTTACCTACTGTATTTCACCCGAATAGAACGCCCAGTAATAATGGTCGTATCTGGACTCCAGTTTGCACCAAATACAGCTATAATGACCAGACGCTCTATTCGGGTGAAGATGGTAGGCAGTCGTGAATATTGCAGAAATGACTGAGACCGACAACGGGACTGCAAACTGCAACTGGTCTGGAACTGTGACTGGGATCAGGGCTTCAGCGGAAATCCTTTCCTTTGATGCAGGCATGAGTTCGTGGGGGCCTTCAACGGGCAGTCGTGGCAGGGCCAGTTTGGAAAAGGCTGGGCCAGACCAGTCGGGATACCGGTGAGGGGCTGCATGGACCCAGGTAGGCTGCAACTAAATCTGCATTCTTACGAACGGCAATGCCTACTGGCCCACTCCGGATCCCAGGTTTCTAGTATAGGTAAGAGGCCAAGCAGCCAGCAACCAGTTCCAGTCAACCTGAAGCCGCCAGCCTGATTGACCGCACGACCATAGGTGAAGTAGCTCTGCGGTGCCCTGAGACCACGTGGAATGAGGCAGTACCGGTCATAGTTCGGGGGGCAACACACACACACACACACACACACACACACACACACACACACACACACACACACACACACACACACAC